TTTTTTAATTATAAAAGATTGATTTCAACGTTAAAGCATAAAAAACAAATTTAGCTTAGGAGGGATTTAAAAAAAAAAAAAAAAAAAAAAAAAAAAAAAAAAAAAAAAAAAAAAAAACTATACCAAAGTTGCACTTCAATTTAAATTTTACTTGCTCAATCTCTGGTTTTTTTATTTTTTATTTATTTGTATTTTAAGTATATATAGTTTAAGGTTAAGAATTAATTTTTCAAAATACTAAAAGAATTATTTAAAAGACTAATACCTTTAAATAAATATTTTTATATATACAAATTTAAAAATTAAACTTCTAATGACGTACTTTAATATAACATTAGTTGTTAAATATATTATAATCACTTATCTTTCTTGTATAATTAAATGCGGGAAAAATTAAGTGAAGGGGTTGAGTTTTATTTTTTATCTGAACTAGAATAATTGAAAGCCAATAGAATAGACGAATAGGGTTTGCGTAGGAAAAGTTTTTTTTTAGAAAGAAGTAGAAATTTGGGACTATATGACAGTCAAAAATAGCCTGCTAGCTATATATGGCTACTTCAAATGCAGTAATGGGATTAAAGCCACCAAACTAAAATATCATGCATTCGTCACAAATACTACTTCATTCACTCTCACTTGTTTTAAAATTTAATATTAGCTTTATATATATATATAATAATTTTATTAATATATGATTTACATTAAAATTTATTTTGAAATATTATTTTATATTGATTTTAAATGAATAAAAACTTATTTTAAATAAATACATATAATTTTATATAAATCAATAAATTTAAATATTAAATAGACAATTAGGTAAATATATAATATCAAAATCTTAAAATAATTATTATTTAAATAGGCCAACTTGCATTTTCATGGAATTAGGTTATTATCGAAAGTGTAAATAAACTAACACAAGTTTTAACTAATAGTTTCATATTCAAATTATGTATGTGGAATTGTATTAAATATTTAAAAGAATATTTTTTTACTTATAGTAATCTCTTCATACTTTGAACCGATGATTAGATTGGATTAAGCACGATATATAAAATCCGGCTTAATATGAGCAAAATTGCATTGACATGATCAATTATAACCCGACCTAGTTACATGTAAACTGACTTTGCCATACCACCATGCATAAGCATCCATTCGACGTAGGATAACAACTTTTTCATGCATGCATCCCTCACTAAAGTCTATAAGTAGCATCTCATGACACAGGTGACAGGTATATATATTCATGTTCTCGTTTATCCTAGTTGCAACTCTTCTAATTACTTAATGATTTGAGCATTTGTTTGCAAATGGTCACCATCGTTCTCCACCAACCTTGGCCTGTTTCATCCCGAATCATTGTCCTCTCCATAAATGTATCCATAGAAAATATATGTGATCTTTACACAAAAAAATAAAAAATAAAAAATTATAAGCCACTGTTATAATTTAACTATTAATTGATTAAATTTAATTTAGTTTCCGATAATAGAGACAACTTCACTAAAATTCAATAAATTTAATGTCTCTAATAATCTTGCTTAACCCAAACCTAAACAAAATGAGTTTATAATAGTGTTAGCAACACATTTTTTTAATTAGAATTTATTAAAAAAATACAAAATTTTATAAATTTCAATCACTTTTAATATTATAAGTTCACTTGTGATTTTATAATTTTTAATAAGTTTGTATATTGTGGCTAAAGGTGTGTCAAATAAAAATAAATAGGTTACCATGTACCTATTCATGAAATGGATTTGATCGATTTTGAAGGAAAAAAAATCCAATCTAATGTTTTTCATTTTCTTAATTAATAACCAAACTATTTTGTTTAAAATTTAAATCCAATTTAGTCTAGAATGGCTTAAATTACAACTATCTACTTTTTAGTTAGAATATGTTAACAAGTTACATCCATAAATGTATTTTAAGATAATATAATTCTAATTAATTATAACTGACTATTGTATGCATGCAACTAAAAAAGTAAGTGTATATATAAGAAGAGACTCACTTATTCTAACAGTAAGTCTCGGTAGATTTATTATACTTAATAATTCATCATTTATATTAAATTTTAATGATTCAATTGTTGAATTAAAATTTTTTAATGTATAAATTAAGTCTATAATTATTTTTTTAAAAAAATTGCAAACTCATATGATACTTTATTATATAAATTCAAATCAGTGTATAAAATATTTTTATAATTATCTATCAATTTGAATTAATGAAACAAAGTATTAAATAATTTTTAAAAATTTGTAGGTTGATCTATGCATAATTTTTTTTAATTTAACAATTGAATCATTAAAATTTAATGTATATATAACTATATATGAAATTTTTGTAGACTTACTTCATTTAGTAATTCATGTTCTACATCAAAATTTAACAATCTAACTATTAAATTAAATTTTGTTTATGCATATATCAAGTCAATAATTTTTTAAAAATTTAAAAATTATTTAGTATTTCATTTCATTAATTCAAGTTGATAGATAATTATAAAAAATATTTTGTACGTTGATTTGAATATATATAACGAAATATTAAATAATTTTTAAATCCTTAAAAAAAATTAGACTTGATCTATAATCAAGAACTTTTAATTGAACGATTGAATCATTAAATTTAATATAAAATATAAATTATTAAGTAAAATAAATCTATAAATACTTATTTTTTGAATAAGTGAATTCCTTTATATATATATATATATATTTATATATATTGAATCTCCTATATATAATTTATAATGATGATTAAATAGTTGAAAAAAAAATTGAGATACATGCATCATCCGCTTCTTTCTCTATTTTTTTTTTTTTTAATTTCACACCATTTTGGAAAACTTTCTTTTAAAATTTCTGGTGTTTATGTGCACTATGCTTACTTATTCCAGCGCTGTAAACAAAAGGAAAATTATTATTACTCAAATATTATAAAGGGAAAACGTCATGTGAATAAAATACAAGGCTCCTAGATATATGATATTAAATGCATTATGCTCATTCTAAAAATGTAGTAAAACCCAGTCAAACTGAAATGAATAAAATATGATATTAAACACATCGTTCACTTTTAATACATACTGTACAACCCAGTCAAACTGAAATTAATGTAGGTTGAAAGTCCAGAAAATTTTGGTTTTTCAAAATTAAAAACTTCATGTTTCGACAAAGAATTCTGCAACACCCCGAGTTGGGGCATTAATAACACGATGTCGACTGTGAACATTGACAACTTTATAGCCTTATTGGATTTGCCCATAGAGAAAATTCTTTAAAATTTTGCCATTGTCAAGAAACGTACTTCTTGCTAAGATATTGAAAGGATCAACTTCGCAACACTCGAATAATTAAGTATTAACTGACACTACCTCGTTTCCTTTATATATTCATTTAAATATGAAATACAATAATTTTTCTTTTCATATTATAGTTTTGAAGTATCTTAACTATTACTATATCTTTCATTAAAGTTTACTCCACAATAAATCCATATTAGTAGTAAATATGTATTATTTTTTGTATGATTAAAAAATTTCACACTGCTTAATAGTTAAAATTAATGATAATTTATAAATATCTTATTTCTTAATTCATTAATACTAAAATATCTTTATCAATAATGAAATCATGGTGATCAACCGGGTGTTAAAGTAAATAATATATCAAATATAATGATCATAATTAATAATGTCGAGAACTTAAAATCAAAACATGTATATTAATTAAAAATTAGATAAAAAGTAAAATTATATTTGATCAAAATAATAATTAATGTTATCTTATTATTCTTTTTTTTAGTGAATGTTGCACCTTCTACTTCATTTTCTTTCTTTTTCTATTTTTGAGTTTTAAAGTTTTAGTGTTCTTGAAAGTATGTATATTTATATGAAGAGAATTTGTTTATTTCAAGATTAAGTTTTGATAAACATATTTTATTCAATAATTTATAGTTTATATCAAATTTTAATGATTTAACTGTTGAATTAAAAGTTTTAAATACATAAATTAAGTCTATACATTTTTTAAAAATTTTAAAAATTATATAATATTTTGATATAAATTATTAAAGTTTGATATTAAATTTAAATTATTAAATAAAAAATTTATTAAAAGTTACTTTTAGAATAAGTGAATTCTTCATCATTCATTCTATGTATGAATGTATGGAGATTTCCAATTCACTTTTGGATAGATATATTCATTTTTATCAATCCCGTGGAGGATTCTGTCAAGATATCTAGGATTGGTGTAACCCTAAAGTGGATCTGTGGATGAACTCCTTAATCTACTGTTCATGTAAAAAAGATATTGCACTATTCATGTTTAAGGTATTCTTCCCTTGCATGATAGTTTTTTTTATATAAAAATACAACAAATAGTTGACATGTTTATTTAGTAATTTATAACGCAAGTTTGTCTTGTATATGTAAGACCATATTTTAATAAAACTCAATTTTCATCCGTAATCTCTGGACATATTAATTATATTTTTAAGGCAACTAACAATATTTAATTATCATTCATAAACTTAAATACAATAAAATTCTGAGGCAGGAAAAGAAATTTCTCATCGTATTTTTTGAATTTGTAGGCCACATTATAATTTATAATCGTACCATCCTATTATAAATATTAAATTTCCAAAAACAAATAAATATTGAAATTATAACGATACTAGAAATATCATACTATAAAATTATCCTAAATTTGCCATTTTAAAGAATTTACAGGATCCATTCGACGTCCTCGCAATGTATGAACAGATAATGATTCCAACTTTCATTAATGAAGAGCTATGAGCATTGCAAGAAGCAGCATATAATTGAACCTCCAACTTGACATTAGTTTACTCGTGACTTGGCCCATTGCTTGAAAATGTGTATCACTACACTAGACCATCGTTTTCAAGGAAAAAATCCATACACGTTATAACTTAGCAGACTTTGGATACTTTAAATTGTGACCAAGTTAAACTCCTTCTTGCAAAGGGCCATTGTACATGGTGATAGAAACTTCTACAACCTAATCAATCATATAAAGTTTTGGAAACTGATAAGACAATTGAAGTTACAGAGGCTGTTCCCTTTGACTCAATTCATTTCTTCTCTGAATAAACTTCTATTGATGCTCCCCTCCACGTTCCATTCTTGAGTATCCTTTGTAGTTTGTACCTTCCTGAGACTCCCACTTCAGAAACCATGGGTAGAGCTCCTTGCTGTGACAAGGCAAATGTGAAGAAAGGACCATGGTCACCAGAAGAAGATGCGAAGCTAAGGGAGTACATAGAGAAACATGGCACCGGAGGGAACTGGATTGCCCTTCCACAAAAAGTTGGTAAGTACATATTATAGATTAAGGGTCTAAGTTAGAACTGTTTTTGAAAATTTTTCTTGAGAAAAATTCTTTTTAGTAAAGAAACTCTTAAAAATTCATCTAAACTTGTATCCGACATGCTCCTGCATAAAGTCATATTATGATATTACACTTTTGAAGCTAATGATGGCATGATGGTATGCAAGGATCTTATCTTATCTTATCTTATTTACCTCTTCTTCCTTTGTCTTTGTGATGCTGATTGAGTTTGTTTCTTGAAGGTTTGAAAAGATGCGGCAAGAGCTGTAGACTAAGGTGGCTTAATTATCTTAGACCCAACATTAAGCATGGCCAGTTTTCTGATGTAGAAGATAAAATAATCTGCAGCCTCTTTGCTAGCATTGGAAGCAGGTACCCTTCATTCACTTAATTTCCATATACTCACCACTCTAATAGAATAAGCTTCTGTTAGAAAATAGTACAAATAATTTCCAATTGAAGGGATACACTAAGAGTTTCTTTTCTTTTCTTTTCTTTTCACTTTTTGGAAATAGAATATTCAAGTACAACACAGATATGATATGAATATGATGTGTACTTTGTTTTTTAGGTTCTCTGAATCAGTTAATGCTTTCCAATTTAGATCTGTTATGAATGTTACTATGCTAGTGTATTAAGACATTTTCACTGAGTGCAGGTGGTCCATAATAGCATCTCAGTTGCCAGGGAGGACTGACAATGATATCAAGAACTACTGGAACACCAAGCTTAAGAAGAAAATGATGGCCATGAATGCTTCACCACAGAGAAAGCCTCAACAAATGACCCTTTTGTCCATCCTTCAAAGCTCAACATCATCTTCAACATTGTCCTTCAGAGACAGCAACAACTCATACTACCACCCCCAAGGGTCCTTTTCCTACTCCTCAAGTCTTCTGAGTGGAAATAACTCTTCTGTTTCTGCTTCCGCTGATTCCTTTTTTCAAGCACAAGAGAGTTTGGGGGTGAAGTGCCAATTCAAAGATAGCATTAGCAACAATAGCACCTTTGTGTTTGGGGGTGAAGCCACTAGTTG